TTGACGGATCACGTGGTTTTAAGTCCTCAGTGAAGTCCATAGACAAGACGTGTCAATGCCACCGCCCGCTTTGGAATATGAGGTCCCGTCCCACCCATGAAACCCAAAACGCGTTCATAGCTCGTGGCAGAAAATGCAGATTGATACTACTTACCCCGACTCACAGTACGCTATATTCCAGTAAAAACCCAGTACATTTAAACAAGCTAATATAATACTTAGAGAACGCCCCTGTCCATTCTCTAGTGAATGCTTTAGTGGCCTTTGCGACACCCACCTTCAAATACAATCACTGCAATCTCAATAAAAGAAATGTGATGGTAAATGTTTTTACGGTAGGCAGCAGCTTGGCTCTGTGCCGGACATTGCTGACGTCCATGGGCGACGGTAACCACTGACCATCAGCTAGACCGCATGCTCGTCTGCCAACTAAGGCAAAAAGAGGTGAATCAATAATTATAAATTAAACGAAATTGATTTTTCCATAATACCGCCTACCACGAAGCTCTGGCGCCTAAAATAACTTATCGATTTCAAATAACAAGAAACGCGGCGACACGCTTTATTTAATAATCCATTTGTTTCGTAGAAGAAACTTTTATTTATTTATTTATAATCAAACCTTTTCTACGAATGCGTACTTTGGGGCGTTACTTTAATTTATGATTAACCCTAAAAGAGCTTGACACGTGTTCTTTACAGTACAAGGTACAAGCGAGTAGCGAATAATTCAAGTCTCGCTCAGCTTGTGTTTTTACTTAACTCTCTATTATCCGCTCCGCATACTCTAACTGGTCAATTTTAAACATATCGCTAATAAGGACTAAAATCATGTTCGCTCTAGTTGATTGTTTAAATATTTATCAAATAAACTGTCATGGGCAGGAAGTAAAAAAAGGGTGCGTGTACTTATGTACGCGCGTATGAAGTTATACTTTATTTTTATTAAATTTATTTCTTTTTTTTTATTTAAATTTTAATCAATTTGAAAAAAAATCGATTAAACAACATCCTCAAACACGCATATTGGACATCCCTTTTCTTGACATCGTATAAATTCGGTAATTCTCGGTACGGTTCGGAAAGTTCACCTGCGGCTATATTCAGACTCGCCAAGTTACGTCGGTCGTATTGTAATGAGCGATTTAGTGGGCAACTTCATTTCTGTTAATTTTGTGTCACGGTGCGCGCGCATCGTAAAATCTTTTAAATTTTTCATAACGCGCCTAAATAAGTATAACTTCAAAAACACAAAACAACCGTTCCTTTTGTGCATGTAGATAAACAAGCTCCCGATCCATCTAGCTTAAAGTGGTTATCGAAGCCCACATATATTTTATTGTATAGGGACTCTCCCAACCTTCAAACCGCAACGCATTTTTGCTTCGGGACAAGGACTGTAGTGCCTTCTTCTGCGGGATTAGAATAATCCCTACCACTATGTAATGGAAAAGTAGCTTGTTCGCTAGTCGCTTTAAGCCACCTTCTCTTTTCCAGGTACCTGGTAAATAATCTTACAGGTAATCTGTGATTTTAGTTTCAGACAACCGCGGAAGTCAGTATTAACTGTCAAGTCATATAATCATAATGCGTTAAATAATGTAGTTCATTCACACAAGGTCACTCTTGGGTTCTTCCCTTCTTTTTATAATACGATATGTCGCAATGAAATCGCTGTTAGATACTATATTTTTTAGGTTATTTCTTGGTCTACAAATGTACTACGGTGGGAGCGCTATCATACAACACAAGATATTTGACAGATTCCTGAATCTCGCTTACGACATTTTCAAGATAATTCTGCAATAAAAAGTAAAACCAAATTTGGGAGTTTTAACGACTTAGGGAAGATCTTCCACGGAGCGGGTGATATTGCTCGGTAAATCGACGGTTCTTTGGAACTTGTATATATGCAAGTTTGTCTTGAAAATTTTGTAAGCGAGATTCAGACATCTGTCAAATATTTTGTGTTGCACGAAAGTTACCGCCACATTACCTTCAAACAAAATCATCGTCTATATTTAATATAAACCCAAAACAGTATAGTTACTTTTTCTCTTCTGTTCTTAATAAGCTGAGTTTTCCTTTTTTTGTTACAATTCATGAGCTTAGCTGATGTGCTACCATTTAATATATTTACAATTGAAATTTGGACCTTAGGCTGACTATCGACATTCACATTTCGATGCCTACGGGTTCCGGTAACCACTTAACACCGGACAGCCCGAGAGCTCAGTTATCCGTCTATAAAATGTAACAAAATTGATTCTAAATCTTAGGGTATTAGTGATTTCCATCGAATAGTACCAGGGAGCGAATACTGATCCAATTACAATAAAATCGCCCTCAACTCTTCATTTAAGCCACTCGTAACAAGTTTAAAGCAGTACTCAAAGGAATTTCTTTGCCGAACACAAAGCAATCTCATGCTCATAAGCTGTTGGAAGCCTTATTTATTGTGTCACAAGGCTCAATTTTGTACTTGAAATTGTTGACACGTGACAATATCCGGAGTTAAAATGTTTATGAAATAAAGAGGAGAATATTTTGTTTGGAATCTGAATTGTTTGTGTTCGTTTTATGAAGAGATTATTAGGACTCTATTAATTTATTGTAAATTCCATTCTTATTCAGGTCGCGAAAATTCAACCGATTTCTCTCGTGGACCAAGAATACTTAAGGATCGTTACTGAGAGTTAAGCTCGATCTCAAATTGGACAGCATATGCGTGTTTTAGTATCTATGGACTACAGTAGCTTCATTTGTAATGTATGACCGAGCCCACGAACCGCCTTATGCAGTTACCGGAACCTATACACAGCACTAAGTCTCATTTGTATCACAACTGTCCCAAAACTTCAGAATTCGATTCAGAACATGTCATGGCATAACTAATACAGATAGAGAATGAGAGAGAGATAGAGACAGATAGGGAGAGACTGATGATTAGCTGGTGGTAGGACCTTTTGTGAGTCCGCACGGGTAGGTACCACCACCCTGCCTATTTCTACCGTGAAGCAGTAATGCGTTTCGGTTTGAAGAGTGTGTAGCCGTTTTAACTATACTGAGACCTTAAAACTTATATCTCAAGGTGGGTGGCGCATTTACGTTGTAGATGTTTATGGGCTCCAGTAACCACTTAACACCTGATGACTTTACAAAAGTGGCAAAAATGATACCTTAAACTTAAATGCCTGATAAACCTAACTCCAGCAGTGGGAAGAGTGATTTAAAAACGATATGATTAAAATTTCTCAAGCGACTCATTAGATCATAGAACATCACTAGCTATTGTGAGCCCCAAATAGACCGATACGCTCTGAAGGATTTTGACGACATAACAATGGGCTCATTCGCAGTGAACACGCATAACTGTATGCTTAATAGGCTGAATTCAATTAAAATCAATTCGGTTACCGGCCCCAGGGAGTTCTCCATTTCAGATACAAGTTTTGATCGCCTATCGTAAGCCAGCAGGAAGAACCCTATTTTAACTGATATACTATGAATCCTTTGAGCTATCCAATCGATCATATAATTAAAATGCAGCTTTTTACTGGTGGTAGGACCTCTTGTGGGTCCACGCGGGTAGGTACCACCACCCTGCCTATTTCTGCCGTGAAGCTGTAATGCGTTTCGGTTTGAAGGGTGGGGCAGCCGTTGTAACTGTACTGAGATCTTAGAATTTATATCTCAAGGTCGGTGGCGCATTTACGTTGTAGATGTCTATGGGCTCCAGTAACCACTTAACAACAGGTGGGCTGTGAAATCGTCCACCCATCAAACCAATAACAAAAAAATATATAAGTAGTCATGTAGTCACATAGAGTCACATAGAGTCACAAATGTAGTCACATCAGTTCTAACGAAAACAAAATAGTGATACAAAAGTTCTAAACAAAACAGCGTCCCAGACTGACATAAAGCAAATAATAAAACACACATTTGTATTGAGCATTGATTCGACGTGGTACCGTCGCGTCGGTACCTATTTACATAACCGAATAAGTTTGCCGACTTTATTAATTCGAAATAATAAAATTCTAGTTATATTATTTTATTAAACGCCTTCTGAATATGATATTTCTGTGGAAATCACAAAGTAATTTTCTTTTCATATTAAAGCACAGTTGCGTACTGAAGCTGTAATTTGGAGCTTGGCGGCAGACTGTAGGTATAGATCGTGAGAAACACATTGATTTGCTTCATTTTTTCCCTACCTAACCGTTGTTAACCTAAGGAACTATTCTAACTACTCACAGACCTTAGCTGAACTCACGGGCTCAACCTAAGAGTATTGCTAACACTGACATTAACAAGAGCAGTGCTTCACTGAATCTACCACCGGATTAATTTACTCGTCGAGCCCTTCGTCGCAAGCCACGGGCTCGGCAAGGACTGTGTCCGGTGAAAACAATCAAACACGCGTCATGACACTAATTTTCTCAAAGCAATATATGGATCAATATATTCCAATAAGGCAGTAAGGTCATTGACCAATTCCAAATTCGGTATCGGAATCGCATCTCATTGAAAAGATCTGGTGAGAAACCCAGTCCAATAAACAATGACAACGACAGCGTCAACTATCTTATTGATTTCATAGGACAATAGCTTATTGCAGATGCAGTATGACGTAGCCATCGCGACGGTCGTTTGTCGAGTTTGGAGTCATAACTTTTGGCTGACTATACACTCATCAATGATTTCTTAGTTTTAAACTTTCTGAGTTCATTGTCCATGGGATATCTTTATTCTAAAAATTCGAAGCCACTGGATACATCTCAACATGTATACGCTGTGCATTTTGAGTTATAGTATCGAGGTCTCAGCTAAGTTGGAACAATGGCTTCCTCGCTTTGTGCCTTACTCTTTAAAACCGGAATAGTAGTTTCCGCTGGCACTGGTTCTCCATATATCCTGCTGTCATTACTAAGAAAAACTTTAATTAACCCGAGGTACATTTATTCGGATTTGACTAAGTGAAAAACTCCACCTACCTTTAAATCCCTGGAATGCCGTAACTCCTGTCTCCGCGGCGGCTGACCCGGTAGATCTGAATAAACCAGATTACGAACAGCTCCCCGGAATTTAGGTTCGAATATCACTGACGGTAACGCTAGGGTCGCCAATTTCGAATCGTACCTATAACAAAAAGGTCTCATTATAATTTATCTATATTAAGCCCAAAAAAATTTTACGTATACAAATAAACAACACGATAATGGTATATAGATAATAGTACTTCGGACACGTGGCCTGACGAAATCCTGACAACTTGGAAAAATTAATAGTTGTAGGTCACGTGGAAGGAAAGAGAAGTCGAGGAAGGTCCTACATCTTAAATACATCAAAGTGAGCTTACGCTAACAAAAATCAAATATTTAATGGTTTATTTATTTATTGCTTAGATGGATAGACGAGCGCACAGCCCACCTGGTGTTAAGTGGTTACTGGAGCCGATAAACATCTACGACGTAAATGCCCCACCCACCTTGAGATATAAGTTCTAAAGTCTCAAGTATAGTCACGACGGCTGCCTCGTCCTTCTAACAGAAACGCATTACTGTTTCACGGCAGAAATAGGCAGAGTCGTGGTACCTACCCGCGCGGACTCACAAGAGGTCCCACCACCAGTATTTACGCAAATTATAATATTGCCAGTTTGATTTTTATTACACGATGTTATTCCTTCACCGTGAAGTCAAAATATACAAATAAAATAAAATATGAGATAGAAAAATAGGTTTAGTAGTTGAAAGGACTCTCAGGAGACTGCCGACGTCCTGTCTAGTTGACTGACCATAATTTATCACTCGCTGTTTTCTATTAAAGGCGAGCACACGCAGTAATATTTCAAGAAGACGTCTTGACGTGGGCACCGCATTTTAAAATTGCTTTCCGTAGTGCACGTTGGCTTTGACAAACGGTGAATTTGAGAAACAAGCAATGGAATAATTTACTAAACATTTCCTACGCTCTTGGCGATTTCACTTAAAAAATAACACTTTGGTTGCGTTGTCCGTCGTGTAATTTCTAATCATACGTATCGCTCTCGTGGAGAAAAACTATTTAGAAAGCCAAACAGAAGCGCCCCACAAGACACTGAGACTATAGTCGACTACACGACTACAGATCCAATCTAGGGCACAGAGATACCTCGCTAATACGTTGTACGGTGTTGTTTGTTTTGGCTTTTCAAGCTCACAATATTTTAATTAAATAAATGATAAAATTATTTTTTTGTTACTTGAAAATGAAAACACTGTATATTTTAGACATTTCTCTGAATTAAAACACTCCAATCTGAAGCACATAAGAGCCTAGAGCGTAGCTGCTGGACCTAAGAGCGTAGCTCGTCACTTGATTTGTTAGAACACACTTGGTCCAAAAAGCGATGCAATGATTAACACGTTTTTAGGTATGTTTCGTTTTTAAGGGTAATGAAAAAGGGAAGGGGTGTTTTTTCTGGATAAACCAACAATCCGAATCTAGTTCAGAATTGCCCTTTAGTTTTCTGTTCTACCACCATCTCTATATCCGTTATAAAATAATGAAAATATTTTTTTTCCTACCTTTTCTGATAGCCTTGCGAAGCTACTTCAGCTTTACCCTAACGTGTAGGTGAGCTCACGGTGCTCAAACCGGAAGTGTTGCTAACACTGGCCCTAACCAGAGCAGTGCTTCGCAGAATCTACCACCGGATCGGAAACGCGACCCACTGAGAAGATCCGGCGAGAAACACGGTGGGCTGTACCTATGGGTTAATTTACTCATCGAGCCCTTCGTCGCAAGTGACGGGTTCGGCGAGGACGGTGACCGGTGAAAACAATGAAACACGCGTCATGACACTAATTTTATGAAAGCACTATATAGGTCAATGTACTCCAATACAGCAGTAAGGCTATTGAACAATGCCAAATTCAGGAATTGCATTAACGTAGTGTCAGATCGTTAGGCACAAATGTAGCCTTATTAACAGAAGGGGTTACTGTCAATTTGGATAAAACAAGCGCACGTGTCGAGTCGATTTCTTAACTCTAGTCGCAATTACTGGAGCACGTGCCGCCAGCCCCGTAACGTTAGGTTAACCACACACACACCTTTGTTAAGTATAATAATTGAGAGTCCACATCTCAGAGTGGGCGGTATTTACGTCGTAATGTCTATGGGTGATCGAAGTACCAAGACTGGAATATGAGCTCGTCTGATTATCTAGATTTAAAAAAAATAGTTTGAACACATTCAAGATCGAATAATATCCTTCATTGTGGTAGTACGTATTTTGAGTCCGCACGGGTGGGTACCACCACTCTGTCTATTTCTGCCGTGAAGCCGTAATATGTTTCGGTTTGAAGGGTGGACACCCTCCTCTTTGCGTCGTATTCCTCATTGCTGAGGGTCGTGACCACCCTTTTGTATCACCTTCGCACGCACGATCTTTCTCCATCTATTCTTGTCTCTGGCAAAGTGGCACCCGTTGTACTGTTAAAACTGAGACCTAAGAACTCATATCACAAGGTAGGTGGCTGCATTACACCACTTAACTCCAGGTGGGCCGTGAGCTCGTCCACCAACCTGAGTCATAAAAAATAAAATAAAAGCTCAAAGCTTACGAATCAGTGCTCTCCGAGAGTTACAACATGTACTACTCAGAATTGAAACCGCTCAACTAATTAATCAGAACGAAATATACTTCCAAAATAATAGAGTGGTGTCACCCTAGCAACAGAACGTACAAGTTAGCATTTAACGAACAAGAGAGCTCCTTCCAGAGCGTTTAGAATTTAATTATTTTAATGCACTCCGCGTATAATAGACTTTATTAAGTTTAAAATGCTCCCCACAGGGACCTGGAAAATATCCACTGACTTTACTGTCACACTATTGACTGAATTTACAAAACGCAATTGAAACCCGCCAGATACTAAAAATGCTGAATCATTTCGTATGTTAAAAGTAATACAGATTAATTATGAAAGAAATCTATGAAGATATTTCCGTACCAAAACGAATATTAAATTTGAAATAACAGATTTCACACAATTGTGTTCGTGTGTAGCTTAAATCTTATACAATGGACGTATTCTTCGAAATGTTTATCGCTCGTTCTTGAATTTCATTAGCGATCCTACTCTGACCTATAGAGTAGCACTGAAGTCTGAGCAAGCCCGTTTGCTTATAAGTAAGTTAAGTAGACGTCGGGTGTAAGAGTGCAGGGGAGTCGTTTAGTGCGGTAGGGCCCTAAAACTCCTTAGGCCCGCTATCTGCTCCCAACCTATAGATCGTCAAGTCCCACATATCCCGCGCGCCCCATAGGCGTGGGGACCTCGTAGGACGTTCGGCCACGACCCGAAAAAAAAAGCTACAAAACTGCACAGATTCACTATACCATGACACTTAAATCTAAATTAATATATATAGGCGATGGCGTAAAGATAACGACCCGACATGAATATGGTTGTGTTTTTTATCAAAATACCCTTCCAATCCTGTGGAGTCAATGGAGTCAAAGCAGTATCGATCGCGTTTGAATGACAACTGCGTGGCAGGCGAAGACCTGGTCGCCCTGTACACTTTTGAGAACGCACTGTGGTGAGCGAGATGAGGACTACCAGCCTGACTTAGAGTGATCTTAAAGAGCAAGTGCAAGACAAGGTGAAGCGGAGATAATTTGTGAGGGCCCTTTGTACTAGCGGGGTACCCTTTTTTTAACGCTGGAGAATCCATTTAGCATTTAGGAATACCCGTCGAGGAGGGTAACGGACCGCGTTATGTCAGACTCCGGCGCCTCCAGAGAGAAAGAGGGAGACGAGGAGGGTCAAGGTTTTCCACTTCCCCAATTCCTTGCAGGAGACTGCGCCTTGAAAAATATACACAAGGCACTCGCCCAAGCGCCTCGCAAAACCAACTACCGACTAAACCCCATAAAACTCCACCACACCAGCCACACTCAACCTACGGTACCGTAGTGCGTGCCGAAAGTCCGCCTTCGCCGGTACCCGTCCTGATCATACGACGGGATTTCATCTCCGGGAATATCCCGAAGGATGTCGTCTCGGAGACTCGCCGTGGGCGGCGCTCAGACTCCACCTTGCGCCGCCTCATCACCGGACCGACAGTCGAGTACCCTAGGACTACAACCAACCGTTCCAAAATATACAGTGAATTTGGTATCCTTTAAAATTTTTAGTATTGCCCTTGTAGGCAGACGAGCATACAACCAGTCTGATTGGTGAGTGGTAATCGTCGTGTGCAGGAAACATTGCTCGCAGAATAGATCGCCGTTGGGGCCAGAAAGTTCTTGAGTGGCGACCGCGTACTGGAAGACGTAGCGTGGGTAGGCCTCCCACAAAATGGGCCGACGATCTATTGAGGTTCGCGGGGATCCGCTGGATGCAGGCAGCGTAGGACCGGTCTTTGTGGCGAGGCTTGGGGGAGGCCTATGTCCAGCAGTGGACGTCCATGGGCTGATTAGAAGAATCGTCGCTCACGGACGGCAGCAAAACCAGAAGCACTGCTAAGTCCCTCCCTGCCTACTTGTGAGTACTCTCGCCACACATCTCGCCAATCTACCACCTCTATGGGCTTACAGTACACCTGGCTTAGTAAAGAATTGTTAATGGAGAAAATTGGTAAGCCACCAAAATTACTTGATATTATGAATGGACGGAATTGACCATTAAAAGTTTTTAGTGTCTTCTCCTCTGTGCAAGTTCTAAAGAAAGCTAGCTTACGGGCATTAACTCATTAGAAAATGTACTGTTGGTAAAGTGTATGGAGAACACAGTCTAAAATCTTGTGAGACTATGTTTGACGCCGTCTGGCGGACGGAATTCTGCTGGTTTTGAATTTTGTAATTGTAGTTTTGTAAGAATCGTGTGTCTACGCGTGTGTGTCGTTGTGTATTTGTGTGTGCGTGTAATACAACTAATATATCTTTCGACCAAAACGTTATCAATATGAGTATCACTATTTATCGGGTTTTTTTTATTGCTTAGATGAGGGAACGAGCTCACAGCCTGGTGTTAGGTGGTTACTGGAGCCCATAGACATATACAACGCAAATGCGCCACCCACCTTGAGATATAAGTTCTAAGGTCTCAAGTATGCCCCTACGGCTGCCCCACCCTTCAAACCGAAAG